AAACTAGGGATGCACCAATTAGAGTTTTTTCGGTTACGAGTACAGATAATTTTTTTGCTGTACTTGCCGATACCGAATACAGATACCGGAAGTCCCATTAAGGAAGCCAGACGGCGTGTAAAGACTCGCCACCCGGCTACCCGATTAGCAGGGAAGCTGTCTCCATGCTTCGTCATCACCTGGTGACAAGGGAGCATGGAGCTAGCTTTCTGGCCAATCAGGAAGCCGGGCGGCGTGTAATGACTCGTTGCCCGGCTTCCTGATACCGGAATCTCAGGTATAGGGCCAGGCATCGTAGCATTTGGACGAGTACTCGCCCAAATACTCGGCATCAGGACTGATACTGTTACTAGTATCGGTGCATCCCAACTTGAAACGTCTGTGTTCAGAAACTTTCATTTGTATTTGCGTTTACATACATATACCTGCGTCCAGCATATTCTGTCCATACAATCCTATGGACACAAAAATGCTGCAGCTGGGGCTCCCAGGTGCCACAAATACATGTATACTTTATGCTATATACCCATACGTCTGTATATACATCTGTGGGAATGAGCCCTTATAGCCTATCCAGTGAGGCAGTGCAAGGAGGAGAGATGACATGCATCAAGCTGTAACACAGAGCAGCCAGAGTCAGTGAACACAATTCTCATTGATTGGTATGGATTTCTCTGTCATCTAAAATCTCGTATCCTGATATCTGCACTTCCGTACTAAATAAGCCAGGAATTGTCACAAATGAGTTGTCACGTCTGCATGCGTGTCACCTTAAAAAGTTTGTGAAGTAGCGCAAAAAAGCCCAAAAAAAACAAATCCTCAACCGTTGGTTTTTGTGTTGACGTATTTATAAAGAGATAAGTGTGAAACAGAAGGTGCAATCCACTGAAAATGCCTTAAGCACAAACGTATATGTTAAAATGATACCTTTATTGATGTACCCTTCAGTCTGACTGCAACAAGACAGACGTCAGAGAAACCATTTTATATGGACGGTAGTCATACCCAAAGCTTTCCCTGCCTCAGTGATATGAATACTGATGGTTGGAATATTGATCCAGCATATAAAATGGCTGTCTCTCTATCGTATAGATTGCATGTACATATTATATGCAAATAAAAAAACAGCTAACAAATTTTGAAGGGATTAGAATCAGCATAGTTTTGATTAAGCATATATATAAATTCCAAGGTTAGTACTAAACAGGCTTTTTTGTTGTTGTTGTTGTTTATAAGCAGTGATCTTAAGTGTATGCTGTTCCTAGTACTTCAGAATGAAAGTTTCACAGTAGTTTAAACACATTTATTCATTGTACCCAATTAAGATCATACGTGGGAAGTTCCAAAATTGACCACGTAACTGCTTTGATCTTTAAACAGATCATTGCACGCCATTATTTTCTGTCATTTCAGCTTCATCCTCTGAAATGTTATCCTCTAATACAATCATGTACAAACAAGTGTACCAGAAAAGTGGTTTGTCACCGGCAGAAGTGTCACGGCGTCACTCTCTGCCGGCACGGCCATATGACCTCATCTCTGAACTACACAGCTTCCCACTGTTTATAAAATTACCCAAAATAAAGGAGAGAGGGTCTGCACAACATTTTAATGCCATGGCAAACTATTCAGATGTTTGTGTGACCGCAGAACTATCACATGGCGTCTAATTCTATAACAAGACGGAAGCGGATGATTTGTCTCTATGGAACACACAAAGGGGCTTGGTTGGGTACTTCAGCTCAGCGCATTTTAATGAGGTGCAGGTCATTCCTTCTATCACCGTGTAACATGTCAGCCAACTGGATCTATCTACTGATATTATTCAGCATTACCAACCCATTTTAGAGGAATAGGATTGGTCAATAATGATAGTTGAGCAGCAGACAGAACACCTGAGTTTCTTTTTTTTCCCCTAGTAAAGTCTTATGAAGTTTTGTACTCTCAGAAGGTCCCTTACAACTCTACTACTGTGTCCCCAGATGCCGGCTGAGAGGTTGTACAAAGGAGGAGGAAATCTTGTTGTAACAAGTAAGTTATGAAGTGACAAAGTATAGACTGTAATTGGATCTCCAGCCAAAACTGTTTTGTTTTGATAGAGGAAAGGTTAGTTCAGGGGTAGGCAACCTCAGCACTCTAGCTGTGCTGAACCTGCAAATCCCACCTTGCCTCTGCCTCTGGGAGTCATGCTTGTGGCTGTCAGTGTCTTGCAATGCCTCATGGGACTTGTAGTATTGTAACAGCTGGAGTGTTGAGGTTTCCTACCCCTGGGTTAGATCCTCAGTTTCTTTTTTATGTTTTTTTTTTGGGTCACAGGAGTATATTTATGAATGTACTCTTGTGATCCAAAGTCAGTGTATATCGGGCTGCTGCTGTCTATATGCAGACAGCGTAGAGCCGCACAGCAGCGAGGAACAATCCCGACAATTGCCAGGATCCACTCCGGCTGCTTGGTTGACAGCTGGCTCTGCCTCTCTAGAGCCGTGCCCCCAACCATCCCCTGTCTGTCCCGCCACTAAGTGCTGGAGGAACAGAGAGGGGAGAGGGGAATCTCTGCGGGGAGCGGTGACCAACAAGCACTGCTTTCTGCAGGGAGAGGACACTAGGAGCGGAGTGATCAGCACTCACATGATTGCTGAACTCTCAGTATAGAACCAGCATGTGACAGCTGCACTTCGCATGTAAAGGAAATCTTCACAGAGACACAGCAATAAAAAATCTAACAAATCATTTATTTCTTCTCTGTCCTGAACAGAAAAAAAAAGGTTTAGCTAGAATTCCTGTTTAAATGACCACTTACCCTACCAGGGAACATTTCATCAGGTGAGAGATACAGATACAGTCACTGCTATGTAAAAGTACTAATACCTGATTCCGGTGAAATGTTTGACACTTACATCTGTATTTTATTGAAACTTCTTTTTTGTAAACCAGTATGTTGTTTGTTCAGTGCTTTGGGTGAATGCTGACTGGGGCCTTGTGTGATCATTGCAGTTTTACTGCTCGGATCTATATCCCGCTAACCAGAAAGGGGCAAGAAATGGGCTCAGATCTGCTAGTGTAGCAGCAATGTAGCTAAGGAAAGAATTAGGAAAGTGGTATCTAGTAATGCCGGGGGGCCAGCGTGAAATGTTTTTTTACTGAGAGGACTGTGGTGTTAAAACAGAAGTAAAGTCGCTTTAAGGGCCCTGTCATACCATCAAGTGTGTGTTCCAGTGCGTTCCGCCTCTGGAATGCAACACGGCCAGCTCACTTTGTTTTGGAGCGGGAGGGGCGTGGCGGTGCATTGAACTCAATGGAACTTGAGCCACGCCCCCCCACCCGCGGCGTGATGGCCGGCACCCGAACGCGTGGCACGTTGCAGTCCAGTGCGATCTGCAAAAAATAGTGCTTGCAGCATTTTTTGCAGAACACACTGGACCGGAATGCAGGCACTAACGTTGCAGGCGTGGCTGCGGTCCCATTGAGTTCAATGCACCGCCACGCCCCATCCTGTCCCAAAACAAAGTGAGCCAGCTGGGTTGTGTTCCAGGGGCTGAATGCACTGGAACGCACTCTTGATGGTGTGACTGGGCCCTAAAACAAACACTGACCGGTAGAGTTTTTGTATGTCTCTTCCCTGCCTGTCAGTGTTTGTGTGCACTGAGAGCTGCGCATGCGTAGTTCAGTGCACAATATTGACAAGGTCCTGTGCCAAGATGAAGTAACTCCCATGAGCATGTGCAGGAGTTGCATAATTCGGGCCAATCAAGAGGCTAAAGATGCTGCAACCCGTAAGATGAACGGGAGAAGAAGGAAGTGCTGGTGATGGAGAAGAGTGCTGACATTGCAGCGCTGGAGGGGGATCACCAGTAAGGTAAGTGACAACTCCTGGGACCCCACTATTACAATTTTCTGCTGGCAATGTACTAGCGCTTTAAGGAAGTTTAGGAGCTGGTTTGAACGTTAGGATCTGGAAGGTAAAGTACTAAGGAACAGACAGTGTTGGCACCTGGTGGTTATAGGTGTTATGTTGTGTGTTTGGCTAAGGAAGAGTTAAGTGTCGGAGGTGCTTTAGTCAGTGGGATGCTGTTTCCTTTTAGTTTAGGGGGAGCTGCAGAGGTTACACTTCAAACTATCAGGAACAATTGGAATATCTCTTGATGAGAGACGTGCCAGCCTAATACACCCTATGAAATGTGGTATAGAAAAGGAAGAAAGCAGACACCAGGGGTGATGGGCACATAATAAAACTGGTATTTAGAGGCCACATTTGTCCCTCTTTTTAGACTATAAATAGCTAGTTTTTGTCTTTCACTATTCTCGCTCTCTACCCATACAAACCACCTTATGTGTACCTTGCCATTACTCATCATCCCAAGGCACCTCCAGGCTCTGCTTTTTTGTACACAGCTTTCCAAACTACTTAAACCATGTTTTTACATTCACTCAGTGCTTATAACAGAGATATGAATCCTTTACAGAGAGACTATTCCAATAATGTGTAACATAAGGTCAAGGTATGGGTATCTTTATGCAGTCTGATGGCACATGTTTAACACCAAACACTTTATGGCACGCTGTGTACGTGTGACTGGCAAAAATACTTCTTCAAAGCAGGTCAAGAGCAAGCAAAGCCAATCAGAAGAGCGGAGTACAACAGAGAAGTCCACAGGGCATCTCAGAAAAAGAAAAAAAACTGCAAGAAAAATGTCCTTTCTAAAATAAGATTTACATTTCTCTCTAACTTCCATTCAGAGACAAAAACTTGTAAAACTCAAACGGACGAGATAAAGTTTTTTTGTTTGATATCGCTCACATTTAAAGTGCTGCTGTCGTCCATACGCATGGAGGCAGCCATTGTGTGGGATGAAGCAGAATTCAGCTAGGAACCAATAAAATCCAAATGGGTACACAGCCTATGGAACCGCTTTCATCGCAGCCCACAAAACGCCTACTTCCGCTGTGTACGGGTGACACAACCACTTCAATGTAAGCTGCTGGTATATATTAAATTTTACGAAAGCTGATAATATGCTACATAAACACAAATCTCTAAATTAATGAAAAAAACAAAAACATTATTCGGCTGAATTTCACAGACAAAAGAAAGTGCTTTATGAAGTCGATGTGGCGCCCCCAACTACGTTATACCGTTATCTTTTCCCATGAGAAGTTATAGATCAGGAAAGTATATTTGTAGAACATTCTGAGCTATACAAATATAAAACAACAAAAAAAATGCAATACTGTCACAATGGTTACAAAAAAAAAAAAAAGCTATAACTCCAAAAAAAAACAAAATATAAAGCTTCCTTCGTACTCCGTGTAAATCTATCCACATTGTGTATAAATACATTTTGTGTTTTCTTAAAAAAATCTCTATCTACACATTTTACCCTCTACATATATACCTTCTATACCTCTCCCAAACATTACAACACTATACAACCAGTCAGTATGTGTGCCTGTCTCTCAATGTTGTAGGTACTGTTTATACATAGAATTTGTTTTTTGTGTGTTTTTAAATGCCACAGACATTAAGATGTTCACACATCTGAATGGGGAAGCAAAGTCCAGTTGTACATCATGTAATTGTCCATTGTTTCTCTTCTTGTGTGTCCGGTATGTGGTATGATCTAGCATAATCCAGTCCATCAAGATCCTACATACACCGAGAACAGCCGCATTTGATTGGCTTCTCCACGTCTTCCACAAAAGAGGATCCGTCGCTGCACTCGAACGTGTACTTCCTGCGCTTAATGCTTAACCCCGTGCAGCAGCCCTGGTTGTGGCACGAGCCCCGGCACTCCACCCAGGACACCACGCGGGTGGTTTGGCAAATGGCGTATCCCCTCTGCACCTGGTAGTAATCGCGGACAGGCTCCCCTCTACACTCTGACTCTGCGTAAAACAGAAAAATCGTGTGAAATGGTAAAGTGTTAATTGTGTTTGTTTTCTTTATTAAGACGGTAATCATTTCTGGCTAATGAACACGTAATTAAAGTTGATCTGTCACTGAAGCATAACAATTCATCAGATATTCATTGTAGAGAAATGCATCATGTTTATCTGTTCTATCAGCTGCAGAGCTCCATGCAAGTTATAGGAGGAAAAGAAAACGGTCACACAATTACAATTGTTCATAGAAGGTTTCACCAGTCGCGATGGAAAGAAAGCAAGCTCAATCATTTCAGAATTCACGCATTGGATTGTTTCAGTATGTTGCATCCCATGTTGGCCCATGTGAAAGTGGACTGAGACCCACAGCACATCTATCCTGCAGCAAAAGGGACGTTCACTTATCAATGAAAGTACAACACCCCTCTGGTTACAGGCTCATGAGAAAGATAGGAGCGGCTCACTGGGTCCAGTGCCAATTAATGCTCCTTAATGGAAGAAAATGCTGAGAGATGCTGGAGCTCTCGCCCTTTCTTGGACCATATTTGAAACTCCATCTTCTAAACCCCACTGGGGTTTTCTTGTATCTTTTTCTGAAGTTGGAGCTAATGGACAACAAAAAGGGCAAATCTGCTTCCAGTAATATAGCAGCCTCAGATCTGCTTCTTTACATATGGAAAATGGGGGTCTGGGAAATGAAAGATCCCCTGCACTTCCTCACTGACCCACCAGTGGGTCATCTGTCCCTCCAGCGGTGCGGCGGCTCTCCGATCCAGCGCTGACTCCTCTCTGCTTGCAGGCACTTCCGATCCCACGGTGTCTGCATGCGGGTGCACGCATCCATAGACTTACCTTGCGTCTCTGCTCATCTCCCGGCCGAGAATCTGAACTGCGCATGCGCCTGCCCCAAGATCCTTTGCGGCCGCACAAGCAGTTCCGGATTCTCGTCTCGTGAGCGCGCAGCGATAACGAGGTAAGTTTAAACCGCTGTTAAAGCTTGCTAGCAGAAGGAACCCCTTTAGAACCCCTTTAAGGAGAGCACAAGACTGGCTTGCTGTGGGATGGGACAATTAGCTAAATGTTGAATGCACTGAAACCTGTACAATGGACACCAATAAGCACCAATGACTCGGCTATTAGTGTGCTATGTACATAGACGGTGTGCTTCTGCATTATGTGCACCACAAAAGGATATCTCTCAGCGCTGATCCTTTTTGGTGAAAGGAGGACAGGGCACTAGTGCTAGGGACCACGGCTCTAGTGCCAGTCCACCTATATGAGATTTGCACATTGCCATTTTTTGTCATGGCACACAATCACTGCAAGCAATTTCCAGGCTTGAAATCACATGAGCCTAATCTGGGTTTCAATGGGGATCACTCTCACTGTTCCACTAAAACAAGAGGAACGCTCAGGGCCAGATTTCCCACAAGGCCAACCGAGGCCCGGTCTCGGAGAGGCAGCAGAGAGTAGAGGGGCAGCAGGGGTGTGGAATTCCTATCTCCCAATGCCCGGGACATACAGTTCCGGGCGGGTAATTGTTTTCTACATTTAGCCCCGCTTTGGGCAAGCAGAGCTGAATGTACAGCGGAGGAACGCTCCCTCCTAAAATACATAGTACAGGAAAAGAGGTGCTGGCTACTAGCATGGATGCATGGATGGGGATAGTATTTTTACAGACAGGTTACCATACCAATCCATTTTTCATATCTCTCAGATACCATTTCAAATGATTTAGAATGTAAATTGTATAGTCTGGGGCAGTTATGACTGAGATCATACACGACAAGTTCTGTCTTACTGGATCCAGTCATTGTTCTGTAATCTCTAGAAGGAAAAAGTACTGCTGCATGGATTCTAGTTCAATGTAATACTAATATGTAATGCACAATGACATCAAAGAGAAAAAATATAAAAGATCTGTGTGAATTTAAACATGCGTTTCATTTTTCTGTGCGCAGAAGCCCTTACATTGGTGGAATGATAAGGAATGCCAGTGTAAACTTTGCTCAGATCCCAATAACTAGCTGTTTTGGGGCTTGTCGCCACTGCAAAAGTGTTTCTATTGCTCAAAACTATTTCCCTTTCACAATCAGAAAACAGCTGATTTCTGGGGTCTGTTGGGACTGGTTTGCACAATACTGAGCCTTTATATTGTTTAATAAAGAAACCCAACGCATCTAGCAGCCAATAAGTGCAATTCCTAACAGAGTTGTGATTATAACACAGCCAGGCTGAAGCTGTTGTGACCTGCACTGGGGGAAGAACCAGCGACCGCTGTTGTACAGTATATATGGTGCGTTCTTAGTGACTCATAGAAGACACAGTAGTGGGATCTACCATGTGCACTGCATGCGAGCAATGAATGTGCAAGGTGATTCGAACTCTTCTTACCTTGATCACAGACGTCGCCTACGTAGCCACTGTCACATTCGCAGTAGGCTTCCCCCACATCAGAGATCTGGCATCGCCCATGCTGGCATTGAAGGTTCTTGCAGGGATTATAGAGTTCTGCTTGCTGGTTGCACAGAGCACCTTTGTAGCCTTCCTGGCACACACAGCTGTATGTCAGAGCATCCAGGGGCATACAAGTCCCATGTACACACCTGTCATGAGAGAAGAATCGATATCACAATGTGCACAGACTTTTATCCTTGTTCACTCAGAAAAGAACACGTGACTACATGGCATATGTACATATAAATAGAAATTGACAATCTTTTCTTGTTTAGATTAACTTCCATTCACACCTGTGCATGGCGGGAATGAGCATCCCGTTCTCATGTGTTCGTGCACTTTTATGTGGCGCGTTTGCCACGCGTCCCCATTGATTTCAATGGGTTTATATACGGGCAGCAAAAACTGCATAAAACAAAAAGCTTGTGTAGTATTTTTTGCAGTGTGCGTTTGGGGGTGCCATTAGAAATGATTGGCACCACAAGTGTGTTGCATGTTTTGCCTTGTTTCAGATTTTGCATGCATCTATGGAACACGCAGGTGTGAATGGGGCCTTAGTGTACATCATGAGAAAGGATAGCTGAATGAAACCACTGTGTGGTGCAGATTTATGATAAGGGGCATAGCTTTCCCATGCTACAACTTTTGCACATTCATCAAATGTAACCACTTGCGTAATGCTGAGAAATGCAGCTTCATTTGGGGTAGCCATTGGCTGCTGTAGAGGACGTGACATGAACATGTGATGCCACACACCACTTGGGTCTCTGTGCACACAGGAGCCCTGTTCATGGAAAGCCCAGATCACAAAGCCTGGCACACTCATACATAAGGGACCTTCTATCTCAGCAGATGGAGAGTGTGTTTCAGTCATTCACTTAAACTGAAAGTCACCCTAAAATGAGCAGCTGGTGGTGCCGTCACTTCATAGCAGATGAGGCTTGGTCTTTGAAGTGGGGTGGGCTTGTGTTGAGCAAACAATTTTAGGGTGCTGTGAGCACTGTATGGCAATAGTGATCAGATTTAAAAAGGTGTTTCGACCAATAGGTCGTGCACCAATGACCAGATTCTTTTGTATTTATGGTGCAGGATCCAAGGAAGACATGAGCGTATCAGTAACCACAAACAAAGGAAAGACAAGGAGATGGAAAAGGACTTATTCAGTACAGGTAAAGATGATATCTTGTAGTAGCTTTAATAATGCTTCACACTTACTTATGTCCCATGCAAGCATTACTGATCTGCTGGTCACAGTGTGGGCCCATCCAGCCTGTCTCACAATGGCACACGGGCCCATTGGCAGCATTAGGTAGACAAATACCATGGAGGCAGTAGAGTTTTTTGCATGGTTCACATCCCGGAACTACCCCAGGCTTCATCTGAGTCTTGGTGAAGTCCTGGAGCTCATTATTTATATAGAGGTTGCGGATGCAGCCATGAAAGCTGGTGCCATTAAGAATCTGCCAGAGTCGGAAAGCAGCGGAGTTGACATCTACTGGCATTCCTAAAATATAAAGCATGAAAAGCTAAGAGCTGAGCACAGCCATTATTATACAGATATTTAAGACACATACATTCATATTGGGTCCAAATTTTAGCCAACAAAAGTGTTATTCTGTACTGGCCCCTTCTGTATCTAGTGTACCCGATGTGACACATGAAAATAGGGGGGAGGATTTGCAGTGACTGACAGCTGACAGTATATACCTTGTAGGGTAATGGAGCTCCACTGTGCCAACTGGAGGTATCACTAAGAGAGACATTCTATCATCTGTGTCAGAAGGGACCTGATAATGCAAGTCTGGGCTCCATATCACACTTCACATATAAGGATCACTGGATACGGAAAAGCTACAAGTTAATATTAAAAATAATCTGTGTGTTAAATGCACCAGAATGCTGGGGAAAGGTAAGTAGTTATAATGTGATAATCAATCTGCCATTTTTGGAGTGCAGATTAGAATAGAAAATGTTCTTTCATTATTGTCCAATGAGGGACACAGGAATTTAGGAATTCTGGAACAATTTTGCTATATGATGCTCTCTAGAGGAGATGTAGACACTGGTGAACAGAAAAAACTGAAGGCCAGCCCGCCTAAAATCTCGTCTCCAACCGTCATGCCTACGTTTTTAGTTTTTTTGTCCTAAACATTTGATGAGTGGTTTGCTTATTAACATTGCCTCTCCTTCTCTTGTTGACCTTCTTCTTCTCAGTCTTCCTGAAGGAGGAGAGGTCCCTAAGGATCTAGTGGTTTCTAATTTGAACCATTAGTCTCTTAAGGTCTATGGGGTGGTGCTTTACCCTCATCTTAAAAGGATTCCTACCTCTGGGCTGTCCTCATATCAGGAAACTAATTCCGGTTCCCTGGAGCAGTTAGTGCCTGCTTCTTCAGGGGATTCTGCAGTGACTAGGACCTTTGACCTGGACTCCAGGAGACAAATCTGTGCTGAATCTCCTGCACATCAGGGAAAAACCATTGCTGGAAGGCTCTGTGTTCCCTTTTTCATCAGACAACTCACGATGCATCCCTGCTGTAGACTCTCCCTGTGGGAGATAATGTGTGCAGGGGCCTTTATGGGATCTGTTTTTTTGGGAGCCAGGCCCTCCTACTGTGGCTGGGTTCTATCCTCTAGGGAAAGTTCATAAAAATAACTTCCCTGCTCCTATACTAAGTTAGGAGATCATTCTTAGCTCTCTGGCTAAGGTTCCTACCCCTCGCTCAATGACTGGGGAACGCTTCTCTGAATCAAGGCCTGTCAGAGGACTTGTAATCCCATGTCCCTGTCAAGTTCTAGTGACCACATCGCATAGGGAAGAGCTAGGGCCGGTTGTCATCCTTAGTCCACCTGGTTGTACACTGTGGACCGTTCTTGTTGTTGCTCAGGTCTTCCCATTCAGGAAGATTAGTTGCTCCACCTGTCGCCTTGCCCACAGCTTCTACTGGTGCAGGAGGCTCAGTGTCCTTCAAGGTAATCAATCCCTTTGGCACAGAGTCTCGTCTTGATCTAAGCATAAGTTTAATCCTCTGTGACCTCCCGTGGGTCGATAGCAGTTCCCTTGCTCTGTAGGGAACTTCACTTCTAGTTCAAATTCAGATTTTAGTGTTTCTAAGTTGTTGCATACAGCGCCTGGTTCTTTCTTAGATCTGTCAGTCTCCCCTCCGTTGGACTGCTTTTGGTTATACCAATTGTTTCTGAATTCCTGTGTCCCTCAATAGATGATAAAGAAGTAAGATTTTTGTACTGGTCATGAAAACCTTTTCTTTAAGTCCATTGAGGAAGAGAGGTTCCACCCTTCTGCTTGCTGACAAAACTAAATTCCGGACTTCCTGTGTCCCTCAATGGACTCCAAGAAAAATATTTTATGGCAAGTACATTTTTATTTACTTTTACTTATTTTTTGGATGCTCTGGGCATAACCTCCTCTAGATTTTAAATCGGCCATTTTTGTAATGCTTAATATATAACGATTTAATTGTAAAATGAAAATATCCAAGTCCCTAGGGAATGGTTTTACAAATGTGTTTTCTGATGAAACTGGGCGCTTTACCTACTCTGACCACTGGGGGTGCCATTGCTGTGGTCTCTGGATTAATTTTATAGATTTAAATGATACAAATATGAGATGAATTGTATGTTTTCTTAGGGCAATATGTAATAGTAACAGCCGAGTGGTGGTAAGTTCTAGCAGGGTCTGCCAGCCTCTGGATGTCATGATGTGGTTTTGTTGCACCACATGAATTGATAAGATTGTTTTTGTCATAATTAAACAATAAATTTCTAATTTCCTCTGGTGACATTTAATTGCGTTATATGCTTTTTTTTGGTAAACCTTACCTCCTACATACAGCGGAGTTTCACTATTGAGGGTATAGTGTTTCCCAAAATTGTCCATTGTCATGGGCGCCCCACCGTCTATAGACAGATTCACCATCTGGTCAAAGGTAACTAGCTCTACAGTGTGGAACTGGCCATCGTTGATCGTCTCTGCACTGAATAAAAGAAGACATGGAATAAACATCCTCATTATACCTCTATTCAAGCAGTAATGACTCTCTGGGGGATTTTGAAGAATGGTCTGCTAATTCCAAAATTAAGCAGCCACTGTGTGGGCATATGGGACAGCGTTCCATCTGCCGATGACCCAGCCTTTACGAATGCCCCAACAAACAATGGTATCAGCATCGGATCACAGAGACGGGCAGATGTAATTTCGGTGTGGATCTCATTCTTACTAATTTACTGGCATCCCCCAAACATGTACAGTCATTATTCATGGGGCTCCACAGAAGCAGGAGACAGAATTTGAGATTTTTTTTTTTTAGGCGTGTTATTTACACCATTGTGGATCAGTGATTTTTCTGCTGGTGTGAACACATAAAGCTGTCTGAACAACTGTCACCCTTCCTGCCATAACGGCACAAATTGTAGGTGTAAGGTGTCCCCTCTAATCCCTCTCACAAAAAGCCAAATTACATGTAAAACGCACCACAGTGCTCAAAGTCTGAACAGATCAGGTAACAATATTATTACAGTGATGCCATGCAGGTCAGAAAACGTTTAAAAAAAAGTTGTATTTTTGTACAGGGGTTTAGACCGAAAACAAAATAACCTGTGTGAGAAGCTTCAGTTCAGTGCTGTCATTCTCTGACTCCTAGGTTAAAGTGATATGAAAATATTTTTTTTTCCCTCCACCCCAGTCTTAGTGTCAGGACTTACCTTAAATGATGCCACTTAATCCGATCATCTTCTTTCCTGTCCTTTTCAGCTGTCCCTCCAGTGCTGGTGCGGGTCTCCGATCCAGCGCTGACTCTTCTGTCCTCCTCTTCTCTCATGTCCCACGGAGTCTGTGAGGGTGCATGCTGCTGCATAGACTTACCTTGTGTCTCTCCTCGTTTCCCAGCCGAACATCTGAACTGCGCAATGGTCCGCCCCAAGATCCTTTCCGGCCGCCCGAGACTCTTCAGATGTTCGGACGTGAGCACGCGACGAAGTAAGTTTAAACCTGTTTCAAAAGGTTTGGTTTTTTTCCAAGTTTTTGGCATATATCTACTGCTTGCTAGCATTATATATACGCAAAAAAAATGTGAGGGTGTAATAACCCTTTAATGCTGGTTCCAGGGCAGTTACACTGAGCCCATTGTAAGTGTCATGAATGCCTTGGAACGATCATGCATTTAGGAGTCGGAGAACGGCAGCCTCTGTCCGAGGTGTGCTATCCATGTCATTTTGTATTAGCAGATTTGTTCTAAGATCCTCTCAGGTTTAAGAATTTTAGGATTTCTCATTACCTGTAGATGGCAGAGCTGGGGAAACTGCCGGGGTCATAGCTCACTCTAACATGACCTTGATATAATTCTACTGCCATGTGGTCGCGGTCTCCATTGTACAGCAGAATTCCATTGTCTTCATCTGTGGATACCTGCGCCAAGTCAAAAACAAATCACAATATAGAAATGATTACCTTGAAAATAATCTCTATTCTTCTATATTGAGGTGTGACTTCACATAGCCAAACACATACCACAGTCTCTGTATTCCCAAACCAAATCTATCCAAATACTCTGCTTTCTTTATATCACAGTAGAGAGACACTGACGGGCTTCTTCATAAAGGCTGCACCGCATGGCCTGCGGTGTTTAATAATAACAACGGAACAGTGGGGATGTTTTCAGCTGTTTGTGGAAGAAGTCTCATCTTCCTAATGCTGAGCAAAACCGGTAGGGAAGGCCTCCCTTGTTTGTATGGTGACACTCGGTAAACTGTTACCACAATGCAGAATTGGCATGGCGTTGCCATTCATTTTAAAGGCCACCCAAACATACCGTTCAAACACATGTGCTTTGCTGTGCACCAATATACAAAGACAAGACCCATCTGTGTGTTGGAAACAAATATTCAAGTCAGGTTTTTACTGCATTATGGTGAGTGGGGGGGGTCTACATTTTATACTTTAGCAGACTGCATGGGACTTATACATTTCAAGGAACTATAGTCCTTTTAACCCCCTTTTAGCAAATGCTCGTTGCTTTGCTGTCACTGGTCTCAATATTTTTAATCACTGTCCTGGAACAAGTATGTAAAATATGAAGTCGGTACTCAAGATGTGCATAGTTGATTCAGAACTGTGCATCCTAGAGGCCACTAGAATGTTATCAATTAAGTCGGCTTCCATATTTTTATCATGGCAGACCTTCTTAGGCCCCTTTCACACGCACTGATTAGGAAGGGATCTGTGCAACTTTTAGTGCAATATCTACATAGAGCAGCCATATGTTAATTATATTAAGTATGCAAGCCGCTTCCTCCTTAGTGGTGCCTCCGAATGCCGAGCCTATATATATGAATTTTATCTGACTGCAAGTCTGCCATTTTCTACTTTCAAAAAATAATGTGATTTGGTAATTCTGACATGCTCCACTGATTCACAGGATGTGCAAGTTTGAATATGTCCTTTTTATCACATCGCATTATTAGTATGGATTATCATATTAATGTTATGAATTACTGAGCCTCTTAATGGTTCACACCTAGAAACACTGAAACTTTGAAGTGGTAACACATTGCAATTATTTTATATTTTTAAGGACTGACTATAAACCTTTCCTGAACGGCATTAAGAATGGATAATCTATTGAAAGGAGCACAGCTACACTCTGATCTGTGGAGTAGGATTGGTAACCTGATGTAAAGGTGGCCTAAACGGCTAAATATTAATGTCTGTTAAGTTATTTTTATTTATTAAATTTAAAAAAAAAGGTTCATTTGTGATATTACGTATGACAGTGCACAGGACCGTGGTTTGGTGTAACCCATCATCCCTTGTGAAAATGTCCAAAAGCCCTGAGAGGACTGCTGAGTGCCGCCATCTTGGATGTGGTATCAGCAGCCTCATAGCTGTCATACTCTTTAGCAGGAGTAGGCAACTTTGGCCCTCAGATGTTGTGGAACTCCCATGAGGCATTGCAAGGCACAGGCATGACTGAGAGGCAGAGGAATCATTTGTAGTTTTACAACAGCTGGAGTGCTGAGGTTGCCTACCCTATGCTCTATAGTATTCCCATGTGGAAGCTTCCCTGGCAGCTACATGAAGTATGTAGTGAGGAGAGGGTCAGCATAGAGCCTTTTTCAGGGGTAGGCAATACCTACCCCTATTTGTTACCTGACTGGCTATATAGGGGTGTCTGAATCATAAGACTAAATGAACAGGCAACAAATCCTTTGTCAAATATCAGTTTACATATATGAATCTTCACTGTGTGTATGAATGTTTGCCCGGAATTCTGTTTTCTACATTAAAGCTGATAGCAGCCACAGTTTAAATACAGACATCTGAGCTGTCTTGTCAAAAAATGTGTAAATCTGTTCAGCCAGTCTTGTAATCCAGATACCTCTGCCAACAGCATAGGTAGGATCTTGACCTTCACTTAAGTAGCCGCACAGTTTGGTCACAACCACCACCTGCTGACTGGACAGTGAAGGAGCAGCAGCACACTGATGGAGTCATCTCTCTGTTTTTCCTCCCTGTAAGCATGTTTTCAGTGTTGGGAGGACAGCACTGTGTACTGAAGCAGAGCCTAGTTGGCTGACATCTTACATTAGGAATGTTGGCAGACTTGATAATATTTACTGTAGGTTACACAGGATTACATGAATCTATATATCACACGGTAAGATTTGCATACTAAAAGAGCCGTCACGTTGATAGTTCCGGCTGCATTTCATCGTTTTTATTTACACTTACCTGAAGTGTGATATTTGCCCGCGGCCAGTTCTGGAGGTCTGTGAATTGCAGATATGTGTCTCTGTCCACAAAGTTTACACTCAACAGCTTTTCACACCGGGTTCCGCCAAACCCAGGAAGACACTGACACACAGCACTGTTACCCAGGTCAATGCAGTTGGCTCCATTCTGGCAGTCTGCTAACTTACATGGATTGGTCAAAGTGGAGGATTGCGATGGCATTTCACAGAGCTGACCGCTGGAAGTAAACACACACACAAATTTTTTTAGTTGTTGGTGATTTGAAGCATCACAAACAGTATACAAGATTTCCTAATACACAATTAAGAAGAGTCTATTTTACTATTCATAGGTTATATGCCCTGTAAACAGGGGGTTGGGCACCAAAATAAGATGCTTCTTTTTTTTTTTTTTGTAGCGGTGCAGGAGGAGAGCTCAGCCTCCTGTGACAGCGCTGACTGTCTCCGCCCACACTACTCTCCTGATCTGTGAAGGCTGAACGGTGCAGGGAGGAGACACCAGCAGCTCACAGCGCTCGGCAGCCTGTGACAGTTTCTCTCCTCCCAGCTGGGACACAGAGCAGCGCCCAGCGGGGAGAAGAGAAAGAACGGATGCACCGCTGTATAGGCCAGAAAATGGCACTTTCGTCATTATGCCAAAAGTGCCATTTTCGGCCAATATGCTTCTCTGTTCCCATGCTGTAATGTATAGAACCCACCCCAGCACTGCACAGTATAGTGAAACCCAGTGCTGCTCTCTGCAGCAAAGGAAGCCGTAGTAAGTCACATTTTGGCATGGAGTAACAAAGGCAGGGTTACAGTGTTGAATCTAGAGAGCTGTATTTTACATAACCCGCCATTATCATGCACCATCTAAAACAAAATTAATCGTTTTTTAATGTCTCGGTTAATAATCTGAAATAGTGGATGTTGCCTACAGCAGCGAATCAGATCTTTCATTGATATTGTACTTGAAATGAGATATCTCATAAGGTAATACCAGCATAATCCCTAATTTTTTACTTCAGTAAATTATGTGAAGTGTATTTGGTTTTGGCTTTTGGTCACCATAGATGAAAACCCACATGCCGTGACATCACACACTGACACTTCAACTTTCCTCCTCTCTATGCTAAGCTTGATCAGAAGGTAAGAGGATTTGAGTCAATGGGATTTTAGCCCAGAATAGTCTTGTAAACAAGTAATGCTGCCGATGAATTCCCCTAAGTCTCCTTATATAGCTAATGTTAGAGAATCGGTGGCGATTCAAATCATTTAACATTTTAGCTGCCGTACTCCCCACGCATGTGATAAAGCATTTTCACAGGTGAACTATATAAATGCAACAGCAGTTTTTGGAGAAAGTGGTACTCTGTAAAAACGAGGGCTAGAAAGGCAGCCCATTCCTTATGTGTTACATACAAAACTTTAATGTCATGGTACAACACATGTCATGGGACAATAATTACATTCAGAGATAGATGGAACTATATCAAAAATGCAGTAAATGTAAAATTCAGAGTTGTGAATGGCAGCTTAATCTTCTACAGCAGGGGTAGCCAAACGTTGGCCCTCCAGCTGTGGTGAAACTACAAATACCATGAGGCATCTGCTTCTCGATGTCATGCCTGTGGCTGTCGGAGTCTTGCAATACCTAATGGGATTTGTGGTTTCACCACAGCTGGAGGGCTGGTTTGCCTTACCCCCGTCATACAGATTCTGTGCTGTGCTTTGGTAACAGGAAATAAAATATGGAGGTACAGAGGACTAGAGACTAGGCCTCAGACTCTGTACATTTGGTGTTTGATGCAAAGTGGGCATTCCACATAAGATGCGGACTGAAAGCTGCAGGCCACATTCCATGCGTTTCTTTATTTATACTTCTTTTTTTTATTTTATTAATGTTTTTGTTCTTTTTGTAATGGATCAGCCATTAACCTGAAACCAACAAATGAACATCAACTGCCCATCAGCTCACCTAACATGCAGATGCTACTTCTGGGTCAATGACTCACTGAATAGTGAGGCAAGAATAAGGATGACAGCTGTGGTGGAAGCACCTTCCGAAACAAACTAGCAGGTGAAGCCCATGTGCCCAATCTGACACAATTCCCATTATCTGCCCGTCTGTCCTGAGCGATTTGGCGAATGCTGAGCTTTTGTACTGAAGGCCTTAAACATAGTCTTTACTAAAAACTTTGATTGTTGGAAGAACCAAGAACAGCATCCTAGGTTCCTTTTTTTCCTCTGGTTGCACACCTGCTGTCAGCTTAATAACCAAACTGGTCGGGGGGTTTGTGTAGCAGGGCTGCTGTCAGCAGCTCTTTCAGTACTGACCACTGTAATGGGTGTTCCAGCGGAATAGATTAATGTTAGAAAAATAGATCAATTAGAGTTAGCTGCATCTCTCAGGAGTATGAATTACACACAGGAATTGCTGAAGATGGGGATATATATACAGATTTGTTTTTGTACCACTATGCAATCCTTAATTATCCCAAATTGACTCTATTCTCTCCCTATCTAGTTGTTATACTGTTGGTATGGAAATTATTGTGCTTTGTTCATATAGTTTTGCAGCATAAGTGTTCAAAATAACTTTGTAACAAAAGTATAATCTTGGGTTTGTGATGAAAAGCCAAGGCGCTGAAAATAAAATTGACCATAGGCGACGCTTTAAAAGCTTTCATCAGTTTAGTGTTGGCAGTGATTATTGGCCCTAGAATTATTGCTCTCACTGCGGCGTTCGCAGCAATATGTAACATGTGCCGCGTAATGGGCGCAATCGGTTTTTGCACGTATGCGAACCTGAATGTTTGCCCGCGTGCATGTATGGGTGGGGACTTCAAAAACATTTTTGTGTTTTTTTTAAATTCTTTTTCATGTGTGACTAATTTGTTTTCCTATTTTTTTATTTTTTTTATTAACTTTATTGTTATCACATAGGGGACTAAGATACCCCCCTATGCCGTATATATACACGGCCTGTTACATCCAGGAAGCTCCCGGCCGGCCGTTTTGCTATAACGGCCAGCCGGGAGGCGGTTAATCAACCCATACAGTAACTGAAATGTGAAAATGGCTCTGGAGCGTAACTGGTTAAGTAAGTCCATTCCATTCCTCTGTAGGAGAAGATAATTACTAGGCCTTAGACTTGTGCTCTTACCTGTATCCCTCTGTGCACTGACAGGAGTAGCCGTTCACCTCATCCACACACTTGGCATTGTTCTGGCAGCGGTGGTCCTGGCAGTCGTCATGATTGAGGCTGCAGTTTTCCCCTCCATAGCCTGGTGCACATTCACATCTATGAGACAAGTCAAGGAGACCACTGAGAGTAGTTCTTGCATTTGCAGTGACACTGTACAGAGCTATGATGATTTCCACAATGTAGCATATAACAGCAGCCAACCATATTTTATTTTATTGAGGAAAATGCAGTATATGATGAATTGCTATTGGATACTAAACTTTCTTCTTTACTGAACAGGACAGATTGTGTTAAGAGGCCCCTCCCCCAATTTCATAGTCCAGAATGCATTTTTTAAAAGCAATATATGCTTCATGTCTCAGTTACATTACAAACGTATACTTTATCCCAATAGAAGGCTGGCAGCTGGTGGTTTGGAAGTTGGTCACTTGCGTAACAGTCGTGGGAGGGCAGAATGAGTTATTTATCGTCAGAAAAGGGTTAATATAAGACTACAGAGGGGGCAATCCAGTCTTGTTTATATATTTACAGCCAAAAACAAAAAGGCGCACTTACTTTGGACCTTCTGCAGTCGTGACGCATTTGGAATTGGGATGACATGGATTGAGCTCTGCAGAACAAAAGTCCACCAACTGTTCACAGTATTCCCCTGTCATGAGAGAAAATGGAATGAAGCAGACGGGTGAAAGAGTGTTTTTGTTTTCCTTTTTATATATACAATGAGGGTACAGATAAATGATTGTATACACATCTACAACTCCAAGAATACAAGGTGATCTGTGACTGGAGGAGGAGAGATGATGTCACATACCCGCCCCTCCTCTCCTCCAATCACAAAGTGTCTTGAATTCTTTGGCCTTTTGTGAATGGGCAAGTAGTGGGGAGTGGGTTGGAGATGCAACTGAAGCAATTCACTGCTCGAGTCACATCCCTCACTCCCCGCAGCACACAGAAGCCGAGAGTAACGGGCATACAGCAAGGTAAAATAATACCTTGCAGCAGCCCTTCACACATAACATACAGTATATCATTTACATGCCCAGTGTGATGTGTAAATTATCATTTTCTTTTCCCGGAGTTTGGCTAAGCAAAATTTTTAGGGTCTTGTGTTGATGGGTAAAGCTTTCAGGTGCATTCCACTTGCGTTTGGCATCAGTATGAGATCTCTGGCAGGTACATCTGACCTCCTTAAGGCCTGGTTCACACCTAGGCGTATTGCATATGCGCATCTGTCGCACGGTTTTTTTACCGCGATTCGCAGTAAAAAAGTCGCTCGACCGTTGCGCGATTCCGAAGGCTACTTGGCTGTATCCCAATGGAAAACGCCCTACAAAACGGCCCAAAGTAGTACCTGGACCTTTTCAGGCGTGGGCCGTTTTGTAGGGCATTAGGGACGGGCGGAAAGACGGCAAGGTGGGAACGAGACCATTGACTACAATGCAATTTATATTTTTGACCGTTTTGTAGAGCGTTCGTCGAGCGTAGAACGCGCTACAAAACGGTCAGGTGTGAACGAGGGCTTAAAACTGCATGAACTTGCTTCAAGCTGCTTTTGCATCGATTCTTTGGGGAGAGATACAGTTCTGAACATGAAGAGAAAGCCTACTGAAACAGCGCCTAAGGCACCAAGTGTTACATTTTTTTTTTTTAAAAGCTAAGCACCTGTTGAAAGCTGTTACCGGCAACATAATATAGATGAGAGACAGCCACTTATTTAGGATCACTAGCTGAACATAACAAAAATAGATGGAAATATGTATATCAACATACCTGTGTACTGTGCTGGACACAGGCAAGTATAGGTGTTTATTCCATCCACACAAGTGGCGCCATTATCACAGTCACTGTACTTGCATTCATCTCTGTTTACTGCACATGTGGGGCCTTCAAACCCATCAGGACAGGAACATCTGATTGGTTAGAGGAGACAATGATCAGATAAACCACAAAAAAACCAAAACAAAACCGTGTTCATACAAATCCGCCAGTATTCAAATTGAAAACATTTTCTTGTTTGGAGAAATACAAGCGTGTGATTATAGTCATAGCAAACCATTTGACTGCTATAGGGCCCAAAACTGCCAGACTACATAGTAGTTTATCAAGACAAAAACGGCATGTGGCAAATACTTCTGGATACATTCAATACATAGTATATATAGTATATACTGTATATCTTCAGAAACTCTAAAATTGCAATGAAAAACAAACACCCGGGTTACAAACACACGTTTGTTTTCATAAAGCATGTAAGGTCATTCAGAAAGGTGCATTTCACTTAGACTTTTGTATGTATGTAGTTCACATCTGATTTAGGGACACATTATAAATTAGGGAACAAAATCTGGATCCCAGAATGCAGCTGAATCTCCAACATCGGATTTGTAACTGCATGATAAGACGTTTGTATGCAACTAACATTTTATAGAAAAGTAGTCTGTAGAAATAGGTCTAAATGCATCTTAGCAAAGAATAAAACGAATGCTTTGGAATGAAATATGCCGATCTTGTACATACTGCCATATTCAATCAAAAATATTTTAAGGAAAAGGCACACTGCAGTTATCATCTGCCGGTCATCGTCATCTAGTAAAACAGGATGTTTGTGTGTGTGTATTAGAAGGATTTTCCTTTTTTTATTTTATTTAAAATCAGGGTTAAGGAACCCATATTCTTTTTATCTGTTTAGGAACTACAATTCAATTCCTAACATTCAATTGCAGACACAGGGATCTTATAGTTCCTCTACAGTTGAAGAAA